ATAAGATTCTAAAAGCAAAAATTAAACACATTATAAAAGAGATATTCTCAAATAGGGAACCTGAACTAAGAGTAGAGGAAATGGAAAGATTTTTCCATGGTGCCTATGAAAGTATCGACGACATAATTGCTTTTCTAATCAGCATTAATTTTATAGAGTATGAAAGCAAGAAAAGAGTTGACGGAAGGGAATATGAAAAGTTCTATTATTTAACCGATGAAGGGAAGGATAGGATTGATAATAATCTTAAAAATATACCAACAGTAAAATGGTATTTCGATAGATGTTCGTTGATAAAAGAGTACTTAGGGCATTTCACCGGGACTGAGTTAAAAAGAAGACAATATATGTATGTAGAGGAGTATGCCGATATTCCATACAATGGAAAAATAAAGCAACTTAATGAAAAGGTGAAAAAAGTATTTTTTGAAAAATTTAATGAGGAATTATGAAAAAAGAAATTGATTACAAGAAATTTATCGAATATGTGCATGAAAAATATAAAGATAAGTACTCAAAGGATGAAATTGAAGCCCTCCTTAACCTGGAAGAGGATTACAATAAAGACAGCCCGGCATCTGTAGGGAAAAATCTAATATTAAATAGGCTCCTTTTTAATGGTAAAAAGATTAGTGGCGAGGAAATCGCCTTTGATAAAGTTTTTAGTAACGGCCTTAACGTTTGGATAGCAGATAACGGAAGAGGGAAATCAACCATCTTTAAAATTATTAAATACGCATTAACAGGCCATAATAATATCAAAAAGGATATTAAAAATTGGATAAAGGAAATAATATTAGAATTCAAAATAGGGAAGAATGTATTTACAATTTATATCAATAAAAAAAGCAGAATTTCGGAAGGTGGTTTATATACTTTTAATATTGAGAAATTTCTTAAGCTAAAGGATACCGAAAAGCTTGACACAATAGAAACTAACTTGTTATTTACCTTCAAGGGGGATGAAGCATATGAAAACCAAATTCAAACATTCTTTTTTAATCAATTCTCATATTATTCTTTAAAATACACACAAAAGAGCTCTAGTAAAAGTGATCTTACCCTTAAAACTTCCAGTCTAAGCTGGAATACATATTTCAAGACAATATACTTGGAATCAAGCGATCATACTAACTTGTATTTTAAAGAAGAAAAAATAGGAGATCAGGGGAAAAAAATATTTGAAATGATACTCGGATTAAGGCTAACATATCCCATTAATAGACTTACACTATTGCTAAATAGAGAAGATGAGGAAATAGGTAAAATCAAGATAATCGATGAAGTAAATGAGAAGGCCAAAACCGATAACAAGGAAAAGCTTGAAAAGGAACTAGCTAAAATAAATAAGGATTTCGAGAACTTAGAAAAACTCAATAACACAAATTTTGATGTTAACCCATTAATAGAAGAACAAATAAAATTACAAAATTCTATAAATTCAACATTAAGTAAACATAGAGAGGCAAGTACAAAATATAATGAAGCCGTTAGTAAAAGGGATACAAAGCACTTAGAAAACTTAGGATATAGAAGAGATTATAATAGTGTGTCAGGTGAAGTAACTCGCCTTGAAAAGCAGGTATTGAACATGAATTTGTATCAAGAAGCTGGGAGTTTTTTTACGAATTTGGAGGTAAAAACTTGCCCACATTGCGAAACAGTAGTAACACAAGATAAAATAACTCTAGAGGCTGAACAGCATAATTGCAGACTCTGTGGAACCGAAGCCCTACTTCAGCGTATTGATCCAGAAGAAATAAATGAAAAAATATCTAAAATTAAAGAGGAAATAAAGGGTTATGTTACTAAAAAGAAGACCTTAGAAGATAAAATTAAGGATGGGGAAATTGTACACGCTAAATTAAGCGAAGAGTCGAATAATCATTATAAGGAATTTGTAAAGATCCCATCCGTTGATGCAGACCAAAATAGATTAACAGATATTGCAAGACAGATAACTACTATCCGATCTCAACTAAATGAGCTAAAAGATTTGATAGGTAAAAAGGATGCATTACGAGATAAAAAAGCAGTTGTAACTTACAGATTAAATGAACTGAATAATCTAACTCCTAAAAAGAACGACGAAGAATATCAAAAAAGGCTTCTTAATAAAGAGGTACTAAATTACGCAATTGGAGGTTTAAAGCTGAAAAGGCAGGAATTGAATAAAGAAATTATTGAAAAATTACAAGGTTTGATTTTGCGAGAAATTCATGAATTTGGCTTGAAAAATGTTTCAAGTGTAGAAATTTCAAATTCTTATGATCTCGCTTTTATACAAAATGATGAAGGTGTATCATTTGAAGACTTAACCGAGAGTGAAAAGTTACGGGTAAAATTCGCATTCTTCCTAAGCTTAATACAGCTTGATATTGAGTATCAATTAGGTAGGCATACAAGATTTTTAGTTATTGACTCACCAGGAAGTGAAGAAATTAGTAAAGCTAACCTGGAAGGATTATCGACAATTTTCAAAGAAGTAAACAAAAGGTTTGGAAATGATCTACAGATTTTCCTTGGGACAGCTTTAAGGGAGTTTGTAGATGTAAGCTCCTCAGAAAAATCTGTTATTAAAGAACAAGAGGAATACTTATTTTAATGAATATAGCTGAATTTGAAAATAAAAACGCTTTTCAACAAACACTGTTTGTAGACAACTTCCTAAATGAAGTGGATATTGATACAATACCGGAAGCTGAAGTTGAAGTGTTTCTAAATTCTATTTATCTTAATTCCACCAATAATTACATTAAACGGTCTTTCCTTATAATATGGTCAGATCTAATATTATGCGAAAAAATTAATAACCCTCATGCATTACTTGGGCAGTTATATAAATTAATAAAGGAACCAACAGGAGATGTATTTTTGCAGTCCATAGCTATTAAATACTACTGCCTCATAAAAGAGACATTAAGTGATGAAGTTTTAAATAACTTAAAAAAGCTAACGGATTCGGAAAGCGCTGACATTGCAAGTGAGGCATTATTTTGGCTAGGAATTGGAGAATTGAAGAAAATAACTGACAATAATCCTCTAACATTAGCACTGCATTTAAATAAAGCGAAAAGTTACTTTAAGGCATCAACCAACGCAATAGAAAATAGAGAAGATGCAACGTATTATCTACTTATTGTTGGATTCATTGAGGCAATAGCCACAAAAGAGAGCGATAAGGCAAAAATATATTTTAAGGACATAGAAAAAGTTCTGCTATATCGAATTACATACGAATTAGAGTATAAACACCTAGAATTCGATTTTATAATATTTCAAATATTAAGAAGTATCAATGATAATTATCAATCATTAATTGTGGTAGATGGCTGGATTAACTTTAAGGAAGAGTTCGAATGTCTATACACAATAAACAATAGTATAAATGCAATTATATCTAATAAAGGAAAGCATAAGAAAAACATTCAATTAATTTTCAATTCAGTATTAAAAAATGCTTCCAAAACGCTTTATGGCTTGACACTAAGCAATGAAAAGCAAAGAATTATTAATTTAAGAAATATAACAGACAATCAGTGTATAATTGAATATCTCGAATATGTGATTGAGCAGATTCCTTCTTTGGAAATTCCAAACGTTGAAAATTACCAGTTGCTTATAGCCCTTATTAAACTTCTTGGAGAAAAAGAAGGGTTAGAAAAGTACAACCAAATAAAAAACAAGTCAAATATTGGTGAAATAATTACTGCTTTCTCGAGTTTTGCCGAAAGAAATTCCAACTCAATTGCTGAATTTATCACAGGTTCAATGATTGGCCAGGATATATACTACACTTTAAAAAATGACATACAAAATAAACTGCCAGGTTATTCCGAGGCAAAGCTGAATACATTCTTTAAAATCGTAGAAGAAGTTATACGTTATGCCCGTAGGTGTTTTGTTGAAAGTAGTAAAAAAGATTATATGTTTCTCTATGCAGAAAGTGAGGGAGGATTAGGTTCTAAAGCTAAGGAGCAAGATTTACAGGATAGTATGTACAACATGCTAAAGTTAACTCCGATAGCATATGGTTTTGAGCATGAAAAGGCTAAATTTACTGATGGTGGCCGAGTAGATATTGTATTTAAAACAGATTTTGTAACTTTCCCTATAGAAATCAAGAAAACCGAAATTGAAGTAACATTGGATCGAATTGAGGAGGATTATATTTCTCAAGCACAAACCTATGCTGCCGGTTATGATCAATTAGGCATTTTTGCACTACTCGACCTTACCGATAAAGAATTAAGCCCATCTATAAATATGAAAGATTGGTTTAATATTCATCACATCCCACCCAAAACAGGATTAAATATAAAATACCCCGATTATATTATTTCAGTTGTAATACCCGGAAACAGAATTTTGCCAAGTAAAAAAAGCAAATACAAATAATTAGTGAATATTAATTATTGATTTATAATAAAACAATGCCTACTAATCAGAATTCTCTTATAGGAAGACATCCAACAAGTCCAGTGTTTGGCATATGGCTATCATGCGATGATGTTACTGTTACACCTACAAAATGCCACAGAAAGCTATCTGAACTTGTGCCTTCAAATGATGCAGATTTAGTTGAATGGTTGTCAAAAATGCTTATTAAATATCATTATGATGACAATAAAATCAAAAGACTAAAAAAGAAATTTGCTGATATAGGATTCCCACAATTTGCAGAACAGAATAGAAGTTTACCGAAAGCAGATACTGTACAAAAAGGAAACGCAGCAGAAATTATTCTAACTGAATATATACAAAGTACTCTTAACAAGCCACTAATTCAATCATTTAGGTTTAGATATAACGCAAATGTAGACCAATCAATGAAAGGTGATGATGTCTTACTAATTGACAGTCCTAAGACTCCTACTAATAGCAATGTAAAAATATATCTTGGCGAATCTAAATATAGGGGAACTCCAAATAGCCAAGTAGTTACAGATTTGTCTAAAGCTTTAGAAAAATCTAAACTACCCTTATCATATTCATTTTTAATGGATGTATTAAGAAGAGATAAATCCACTGAAGCACTTGCTGATATTCTTGATGAACTATATGTTAAGGATATTAAAGCAAATGGTAATTTGATATATGCTGGATTATTATTAAGTAATATGAATTCCCATAGCAACATCGAAACACATTTTAGTAATAATAATCCTAATCTAGTAATTATTTCTATTGGTATAAATAATCCGGGCAGGCTCATAACAGAAGCATATGCTTTGGCTGAATCTAAATTAAGTAAACCAACTACGTTATGAATTTAGATGATTTTGCTAAAAAAATAAATAGCGTAAAAAAAGACAGAACGCTTCAAAACTACATTGCGCAAGCACATGCCAGATATATATTGTTTAATACAAATGTTGAAAAGGAAAACTTACCGAGATATACAATAAAAGACGAGAAATTAAATAAATTAGCCTTTTATTATTTACATGCAGGATGTGTTTATGCTGAAAATAATAATTTGGCTGAATCAAGCGAATTATTAGAAAGGGGTGCATCAATACTAGAATACATAAATGGTTCCATAAACAATAGAGAGTTAGAAAGTAATTATTTCGGTCTTATTTCATCATTGGGTTACTATGCAAGTTTCCAATATTCAAAAGCATTTATTTTAATAAAAAAGCATACATATAAAACTGAAATCAGTAATCTGATTTCCTTATTTTTAGAAAGAAAATACCCGGAATTACTCCAAAAAGTTAATGAAATTGTTGTATCAAAAGATTACACCGATGAACATATTTCGAATTTGCAAGATGTTAAAGAAAGTGAAAACAAAATTTATGTAATCGTAATTGCAAAATCATTAAATAGCTTTATACGTTACTTCCAGTCTGGAGACGACGAGCTTATGCATAAAGCCAAAGCGCAATTACAAAACTTAAAAGAGATAGCTGAATTAAACGAAGACCCTAGTGTTTGGTGGGTAATCCGTTTATTACTAATTATTCTTGATGGTTTTAATGAGGCAGCTTTATGGAAATGCCTATCTAAACATTTTGATATATATGACGACAGGGTTAAAAAATATATTAATTCCTTAATCCATCATTCACCACCCTATTATGAACTTTTCATAACACAACGAAATTCATTAGCTCAAGTTTTAAATGTAGAAGAAAAAGGCTGTATTGTGAGTGTACCAACAAGCAGCGGCAAAACAAGAATTGCAGAAATCGCAATATTAAATGCTATGCTCGCTGATCCATATGGCAAGGTTTTATATATAGCTCCTTTTAAATCTCTTGCATTTGAAATTGAGAGCACATTAGAAAATATTTTTAGCAATGTAGATATTACTATTTCGCATTTATATGGTGGGGGTTTGTTTTCAAAACTGGATGAAAGAGTTATTGATGAATCTAATGTAATAATCGCTACTCCTGAAAAAGCCAAGGCAATTTTTAGAGGAAATTCAGATATTTTTGAACAAGTAAAATTAGTGATTATTGATGAAGGCCATTTACTTGGGGCGGATGCTAGATTGCTTGCTAATGAAGTATTTTATGAAGAATTAAGGTATTACTTATCTAATACAGGCGGTAGATTTCTTCTTTTATCCGCAGTATTACCTAATACAGAAGATATTGCAAAATGGCTCACCGGAAGTACTGAAACCGTATACAGGGAAACTTGGAGGCCTTCGGATGAAAGGTTTGGTATTTTAGAATATACTAATTCTTCTATCAACTTAAATTGGGATAGTACGTCAGAAGAGATACCGTCATTTAATCCAGGTTTTATTAAATGTGAACCTATTCCACTTAAAGGAAGAGCAAAAATCCAAAGGTATACTCCGAACTATCAAGAATCACCAGCAGCAGTTGCATACAAACTCAGATATTTTGGGCCAGCTTTAATTTTTGTGGGAATAAAGCCAAGTGTTTTTCCAATGGCTAGGGCGTATGAAAAATTCATGACTGAACCTTTTGATATTTCTAGATATAATAAAGAAGATTGGAAAGCATATGAATTAGCTTGTATAGAAACTTATGGCATTGATTCTCTATGGTTATACTATGCAGGTATTGGCATACTATGCCATCATGGTGATTTAAATGTTGATGTGAGAATACCGCTAGAGCGCCTTATGAGAAACAGTAAACCTTTGGTCATTATATCAACATCAACTTTAGGCCAAGGTGTGAACCTTGGAATATCTACCGTGATTTTTGCAACTACACAAATTGGCAAAAGTTCTTATCTAACAAAACGTGATTTTTGGAATATTGCAGGAAGAGCGGGCAGGGCATTCATTGATAGTGAGGGCAAAATATTGGTAAAGTTGAATGCTGAGGACAGAAGTGAAGAAGGTCTAGTAAAAATCGAAAAGCAACGAAAAGGTATAAAGAGTTTCTTTAAAAAAAGTAATATTGACCAAGCAGTTGGGGGATTGATATTAACAATTATTAAAATATTAGCAATTTCAGAGCGACATGGAATTGATTTTAATCTTTTAATAACTCTTATTTCTGAAAACCAGTTAGATACTTTAGATACAGAAGATTTTAAGGCCGAAAATGTTCTTAACGTTATAGACGATTCATTGTTATCATTACATTATTCAAATAATCTAAGTGGTTTAGACGAAACTGATTATTCTTGGGTTGAAGCACATTTCAAGACTTCATTAGCCGCAATCCAAGGAGCAAGAGCGGCTAACATTGGTGAACAAAAGGTACTAGATATCATTACAGCTAGAGTTCATGGAATTGAAACTAAGGTTGGAACAAGTAGAAGGCAATGGTTAAGTATCATTAAATCTGGTATACCAGTAAATTACTATTTAGAAATTGAAAACCAATATGAAAGTATTCTAGACTGTATTAATGAATATCTTGAAACAGATTTAGAAATTGATGATAAATTGGTTTTATTAGAAAAATTAGAAACCCTTTTCCTACAAACTAAACTTTTTGGGGACGCCGATAATTATTACAAAGACCATGTTCAAAGAGATGTTATAAGAGATAAATGGTTAAGGGGGATTAGCGCTCAAGAAATATTTCCAATAGAAAATAGTGAGAAAATAATAACAAAAATTTATGGATACAAACTACCTTGGTTCCTTAATGCGGTAGGTAAAAAGCTTAAACAAAATGACCTTGACGACCAAGCGGAAGTGATTGAAGAGTTGGCAACATATACTGAATTGGGACTTCCAACCTTATCAAGTTGCAAAGTCTATCAAGCCGGCATTAGGTCAAGGTCAGCCGCCTTAGAGATAAGCACCATACTTGGTAACCGTATGTTAACTAAAAGCATTATTGATTATAAAAGGAAATTAGTAAATGATAAAGAAATTCTACTAAAAAAGTTAAGTGGCAATGCAAAACAATGGCTTGAAATGCTTGGACTAAATGCAACAGTTAGAGAAAAACCTATAAAAATTGTGGAATCATTTATTTATAAGCTGGCTGTAGGAAAAACTGAAACCCTTATACCCCAGTTAATAAATGATGAACAATATTTAGTAAGCCCTGATTTATCATTCATAAAAAAAATATCTTCATCAGGAATAAATTTTACTCAATTAAATAATCTACCTGGAATTTATTTTAAATATAACAAAGTTGAAAAGGAATGGAATGCAGAAGTTAGTAACCCATATATAAAGTATTCATATGAAGACTAATCATTCGGGTAATTTTTTACTGTCCATCTGCTTTATTATATTATTAACTTCTTGCTCCGTAGACCTAAGTCTTGATTGACATACATTTATTAATTCAGATGCTCTTTTAACCTTTTGAGCAAGCACATCTATTGAAACAGATTCATTTTCTATTTCGGTGGCTATTTGCATCAATTCTTTGAATGCCTCTTCATATGTTGCTTCCATCTCTATGATTGTTTGATATAACGTTTGTATCTATTTCTGATTCTGAGAATATAATTTTTAATTTATCGTCTGGCTCAACGTTTATCCCATTTGATATTATTTTATTGTTTTTTTGAATTATAGCAAACCCTCTTTTAATAGTTTGCTCTGGGCTGACAGCGCTAATATATTTAATATAGTGATTTAAATTACCTCTTTTATTCACGAGATACTTCCCAGTAAATATTCTAAGATTACCAATTGTATTAGCTAATACATTTAATTTATTGTTTACTATAATCTTCGGAATAGTACTTATTCTAGAAGATGTGGCTACCAAACTTGATTTTCTATTGTTGATTATTTCATTAGATTTATTAACCACTATTTGATGATGCAATGTTAAATCATCTTTCCTATGGGTTAATGTACGCTTGGAACCATTAACTAATAGAGTATTAACTAATGTTAATGCTCTTAGCTTATTAGCAATTAATTGTTGCCCTTTAATTATGATTGTATTTTGGGCTTTCTGTATGGCTACTTCAAAATTGTGATTGTGGGAAATAATGAATTCAGCAGCCTTGGTTGGCGTTTTTGTTATGGTATGGGCCATAAGGTCACTAATGCTAACATCTTTATGATGACCCAGTCCCGTGATAATAGGGATAGGAAACTTAGCGATGGCTTGAGATAAGCTGTATGTATCAAAAACTAAAAAATCTGTTTTTGCACCACCACCCCTAATAATTACGATGCAGTCATAGTTTATTTTGGTATTATAAATTTTGATTAATGTATTAACCAATTCAGCTTCAGCTTCGCCACCTTGCACCGAAGAATAATAAGTATCTGTAAAAATTGTATACTTAAATTTATTATCCTTCAAAGTATGGATAAAATCGGTATATCCTTCTGAATTAGCCGAACCGATAAGAGCTATTTTTTGTATAACTGGCTTTAATATTAGTCTCTTATTGCGTGTTATATACTCTTCCCCGTATTTTTCAATATAATCATTCTCTCTAACCAGTCGCTCTAAAGTATCTCTCCGCTGCTTTTCTATATTTCCTAAAGTAAAGGCATCGTCAATATCTAAAAGAGTAAGGGAAAGTCCATATACTGGATGATATTCAACTTTTACTTTTATCAGGACTTGAACGCCATTTTTAAACTTTTGGCCCGTTACTTTTTCAAAATACTCTATACATTTAGAACCTTCCTGCCAAGATTTGGCTTTGATTTTAATGGTGTCCGCATTAGGGCCTTCTAGCTTTTCTATTAAATCAAAATGGTGTCTATCCTTATTAGGATAAAAGCTATGTCCGGAAACTTCACCTATAACCCAATAAGTTTCTTGAAAAGCCGATGTGATTACCCCTGCAATCGTGCCGGCAAGCTCTGAAAGTTTAATATGTTGGATAGCTTGCAAGGTATTGTTTAATAAACCACTAAAGTAGAAATAAAAAAGCTTTATAGTGATTCTTTAAGCCATCATTAGTATGTAGTTTCAGGATTTCTAAGGATTTCAAGAAATTTCATATTTTAACTTTCTTGAACACCTTGATTCCACACACTTTTATTGTCTCGTTAATTTTCGAGATTTCTTGATATTTCTTGCGTAATCCCGAGAAATCCCGAGAAATGGTTTCTTGAAGTTTCTTGATTATTTCTTATCTAATTCTATTTTAAAAAAGTCTTCCAGCTTAATTTTATGAATAGCTAATATCTTTAAAAGGCTTTTTATAGTAATGTTTGATTTTCCCATCTCCATTCTCCAATACTGCATCCTGGATAATTCATTTTTAATAGCAAATTGCTCATAGGAGGTATACCCATTATCTACCCTTAATTTCTTAAGTCTTTCGCCAATAGCATTGAGAACTTCTTGCTCTGTTTCCATAGCACGAAATTCCTTAAATACACTATTCAGCGTTACAACATATAAAAATACATCATTTAAAGGTACAACATATAAATATTTAAACTATATTTGTGATTATAAAAACCTTAACATAATGAAAACCAACACAATTACTACCACATTGGCTGTATTAATAATTATAGTATTTACAAGCTGTAGCCATCAATTAATGAGTTATAACTCGTTAGTACCTCAAACAACAGATACAAGAACTGCTTATGAAGCCAAAGGAGACAAAGTTTCAGCTAAGGGTGGAACCATTGATAAAGCGACTGAAAAAGCTTTAATCATAGCAGGCAAGGATTATAATGCCCTCATTAATGGCACTATTACAATGTACCATTACGATTACCTTCTATTCGACCACATTGTATTCAAAGTAGAGGGCACCCCTGTTAAATTGAAAGAATCATCTAATAAATAAACCAATGAAAAAAGCTGCTATATTTCTTTTTTTTATAATTGCATTGTCCTCCTGCAAAAAATCTGGTTGTACAGATTCAGATGCTACTAATTTTGAAAGTGAGGCAAATTCCGATGATGGCAGTTGCAAATTTACAGGAGGACTGGTATTCTGGTATAATCAATCTACCTCGCAATTTTTAGTGGATGATGATGCATCTTCCCTTATAATTAAAGTTGATGGCCAGGTAATTGGTTCCACTTCAACAAGTGTATATTGGACTGGGGTACCTGATTGTGGACAAAATGGTTCAGTTTCAGTAAGCGTTAATTTAGGCAACAAAAAGAGTAAAACCGTCAGCTATACTGTAATTGACGATACCGGATGGACTTATTGGGCTGGAAATACAACAGTACAAGCTAACACATGTAAATCTTTACAATTAAATTAATGCTTTAGAAGGTAACCAATAAATAAAACCGTTGCTTATGTTTCACTTACTAATGAACAACCAACAAAAGGATATTATGCTAGGCCGTATATTTAAAGCTATAGGTCAAGAAAACATAGATCAATTTCAAAGCATTGGCGTTAAAAAATATGGAGTTGTTTTATCCTTAAAGGAATTAATAGATGTAATAAAAATAGACTTTGAAGGGCTTGAAGTAAAATTCAATTTACAGGGATTAGAACCTTATCAGAAAGTCTATTTTTTTGAAGATTATTATTACTATAAGTCATTTTACAAAGAAAAGGTTGGGTGGGGAATTGGTAAAGATCCTGACAGGAGAGAATTTTTCGAGCCTTATGAAGAATAGGACAGATTATCTTAATTGTGTCGTCTAACATTAACAAATTTACTTATTCATTATCTGTTTCAATTCTTCCGGTATTTCAATTGGTTGAAAACCGGGAACATTAGCTCCCCCAGTATTACCGATGGGAACTTTACCTACAAAAGATTTAACTCCTCCTAACAGCAAGCGTGGTAATTGTCCAATAACTTCATCAATGCTTTTAGTTTTAATACCAAACATTAGCATTTTCCAATGTACTAAAGTATGATGGTAAGGGTAACTCTGTCCAAGAATGTGAGCCCTTTCTAAATGAAACCAGCTTTGCTGCAAATCGCTTTTTACGAATGCCACACTTGCATCTTGCAACTCTCTTCGGAAGAATGGTTTTAATTGCGAGGGCATATTTGTATTTAGTTTCATTTTATATTTTGCTACTAGTGGTTTGTTGTTTTGTACTCATTAATATCTTCCAAATCAATATTGATAAAATCAGTGTCAATACAGAAAACAGTTTTTCGAATATCGTACTTGCTAAAATGTTTCCAATAGTATTAAGAGCAAAAAGGAAGAGGAAGGCCCACAATACTATATTTATAATTTTCCTATTTACCTGGAATTTCAAATAACTTCCTTTAATTAATAATATTGAAATCAAAAACAGGTTAACCAAAATTGAAATTGTTTCAAATGCATACATTTCGCTATCGCTTTTGAGACGTCCACCCCAAGCTATATCATAAGGAATTATTTTTACAATTATACTCAAGTGAAAAACGATTACCAGTGAGGATAAAAGAAGAACAGCTTTTATGTAACTATTTGATTTCATGTTGTTTGTTTTAAAGTCTTATATTCTGTCAGCTTTCAATTATATGTTATATTAAACCGATAAGCTATCCTTCTTCCGAAATGGCTTAATTAATTTATTCTGTTTGGTAATTAATATTGCAAATAGAATTGCCACAATTAACCATAATAGGACAGCTTGAATTGTCCCTTCCGGGCCATAAGCACCACCTGTAACATATTCACTACCAACAATATTAAGATTAAACAAACCCCCTGTTTTGTCATTCCCTGATGTAATTACACCAAAAATGCCTGATTGCATAAAGTTCCAAGAAAAATGTATTGCAATTGGCATCCATAGACTTCTACTGAAGATGTATGCTGCCCCTAAAACAAAACCAACAACGGCAGTACATATTGCAGATATTATTGAACTATCAGGATTTATTAAATGAGCAGCTCCAAATATTAGTGCTGAAAGTAATAACGCTGTACAACTTCCTAATCTTTCCTCTGTTATTCTAAAAACAATTCCCCTTAGTAGAATTTCTTCGAATATAGCTACAGATAATGCAATTGCAAACGGAGTAATAATAAAAGAAGCAGGGTTTATAGATGTTAATTGTATATCGGCAAGGAGGTATATAACAATTATTGTTAAGGTTTGTAAGCCTGTGCCAATTAGCACTCCAAAGCCTACATTTTTTTTTAGTAATCCCTTGCTTGTAAGTTCTAATACATCTCTTTTTTCATACCTACGATAAAAATACAAGTAGGTTAATAAAACAAAAAATGAGGCGCTAATACCTTTAATGAGGTTTCTAAAATCTTTGTTTATAGTAGTTAAATCCAATATTTTACTAACTAATTGTTGTGCTATTATAAACGCAACAAAACAAAGTACTAGTCCAAAAATTATTCTAATTATTGGTGCATTCAAGAAATTGCTTTTGACTATTGATTTCATGATTTTAAAGCTAATTGTTATTAAATGATTTTTCTCCTTTTGCCAGCAACCAGAGAGCAAGCCCAAGTTCTCCTAAAGCCATTGGTAATCCTAAAATATTGTTTAGAGTGCCATTTAACTCTGTTAACAGAGGCGATATAGTTTTTAGCAGGTGAACTAAAATGTAGGCTGCTCCAGCAACTATCATCAAGTAGTACAAAATTTTAGGTATTAGTTTATGAATCTTCATTAAAACACCCACTACAATTAAGTGACTGCCGAAAATAATCAGACCAATTGACCATATATTTTGAAACGATACATAATTACCTACAATGACTTCATTATTCACCTCTCCAATATTTTTAACCAGGAAATAAGTTGCTATGCTAAATATTACGGTGTAAATAAATCGCAAACTGAATGACAGTAAAGCAAGTTTCTTGCTGTCACTTTTGAAGTACAAGTATAGCGTCCACGCTACCAGTAAATCTAGTACCAGAACTACCAACACTCCTAAAAGCATGAACTTGTATAGTTGCAGATTGGCTATTAGGCTACTCTGATAAGTATCAATTTTGGTGAGGTTGTATATTTTAGGTAATGCAAACCCAAACGAGAAACCGGCTACCACCGCCATAAATATTATGGAGTAGCCGGTAAGTTTTGCAATAGTTCTATTATTATTTATAGGATTCATTTTTTGTATTATTAATGATGAGAATGCCCCTTGATAGGAGTTGTTTCAACAGTTGGCATACTACCATCAATTACCTCAAAATGAGCCATCATACCTGATGCATGGTGTTCAAGCATATGGCAATGATACATCCACGTACCGGGACGGTTATCAGGCATCCAGGCAATTTTTATGGTGCTTTTAGGGGTTAAATTATACGTGTCCTTCCATGCCAAGTATTCAGGCTCTTTGCCATTCTCTTCAATTACCTGAAAGAAAAAGCCATGTAGGTGAAATGGATGGTCCATCCTGCTAGTATTAGAAACTTCCCATACTTGTAGCTCACCAACCATTACGGGTTTGTCCGTTACATGATTGCCATCATTTACCCGAAAGTCTGCACCATCACTTAATCTAACTTTAACAGACAATTTTACCTTTCTGGTAATAGCGGCATCTTGCTTTGCAAGCGGTTCAATAGTTCTTAACCTTTCTGGTATATAAGTTTTAGTAGCCTTATTTTCTCCCACCTTAACAGTGGCAAACGTTTCACGCTTTGCTTTTAAAAAGGTCATTCTGTCATAAGCTAACGATTCAATGGCAAATGTTTCTCCTTCGGTAAATGGACCTACTACAATATCCATACGCTCACCCGGTGTTATCAATAATTGAGTAACAGTTCTGGCATGTTCTAATAATCCACCGTCTGTTCCAATTATTTTAAATGGCTTCCCTTCCAGATGAAGCATAAAATAACGTGCGCTCGAAGCATTTATAAAGCGCCATCTTTCTGTTTGGCCACCATGTATATTAACTACTAAGCCTTCTTTTCCGTTTAACAACAATGTGTTGCCTTGTCTTCCATCATGTCTTTCAGCTATCCGTGGTAGGTACCAGCTGGGTTTTGTAAACTCATTATTAGCATTAAGCTTCATGTCGTCAATCATAAATATCTTTTCATCATCTACAACAGGCTCAGTTTCGCCATCTACTATCAATGCCCCATACATTCCCCTTTCCATTTGAACGGTTTCATTGGTATGTGAATGATACCAAAATGTACCTGCATCGGGCACTATAAAACGATATTCAAATACTTCGCCCGGATTAATCTGTTTTTGAACTCCGTCAGTACCATCCATTGATGCCGGTAGACGTATGCCATGCCAATGAATAGTGGTTGGTTCACTCAGATTATTCGTTACGCGAACAACTAATGTATCGCCAGCATTTGCTCTTAATACCGGGCCGGGTAGTTGTTTATTAAATCCCCATGCTTTGATAATTTTACCGGGAGCTATTTCGCAGTTAAATTCACTTGCTTCAAAATCGTATTCGACTACTTTAGATTGTGTTTTCATTTCTTTTGATTTTAAATAGTTATTTCAACCTGATTCCAAGTCCGAATTCAAATGAGATATTTGCCAGGTTAGCATCCATTGAATTGATGTCTATAGTTTTAAATGGATATGGATAAAGCGGTATATACATCCTGTAGCTGAAGAAATATTTTTTCTTCCCTAGCTTATAATTATACATCAGCCCAAAATCAGGGCTAAGACTAGATGATGCTACAGATACTGTTTCAAAATCAGGGTTATGTAATGTTTCTTTGCTCGCATCATATTTAACCCCCGCCATTAATGAAAATGTGTGTGACGAGCGTTTTAAGTAAAAGGAAGTGCCGATGCCGATAGTCTGGCTTAGAGAATAACTATAATCCGTTTTTACATAATTAAAGTCTCTTGCAAATGCCGTATTGAAGGTCATAGAGGAGCGCGAAACAACATTAAAGTGCTTTTTAACATTCCATTGTACTAGGTTACTTACAACTACGTCTGACATTGGCATTGGATTTATACCTATAGCCGGTTCAATAGTAAGTTTGCGAAGAGGGAAATGTTTCTTAGTTGTTTGTGCTGAATCTGTTTGCCCTATTGCTGATAAGAAGGTTAAAAGCAGTATAAGGATTGATAAATATTTTATGTTTTTCATGGTTTCTAATTTTTAATAATTTGTTTATTAAATAGTGTTTAGTTATTTGTTTTGAAAATAGAATTTCAGGCCTTTTATAATATTCGGGTTCTTAGAGCCAACATGCTCTAGCTGTGGTTCTATGTTTTTGCCAATTTTCATTGATGGGTAATTATTTTGCAGGCGTAGATAAAATGCTTCAAAAGGGGCCATCATTCTTCCGCTACTTTCTAACCCACCCAAACCCATAAAAACTAACTGGTCAGCATTTTTATTTGCATCCCTATTTTCTTGCTCCAGCCTTAGCATTATTTCATTATCATACCATATAGATGGGCTTAACATAAGATAGTTGCCAAATACTTCATTAAAATTGGTAAAAGCATAAGCAGCAAGTAAACCACCAAATGAATGACCTAAAATGATGCGGCTTTTCCTTAAAGTATCAGCACCATATTCGTTCTCCATTTTTGGGATTAACTCATTTTTTATAAAAAGCATAAATTTTTCTGCTCCGCCCCCACCTTGATTGGCTTTTGAAGGGGTGTAATCTACAGACCTATCGTTTCCATAGCCAATACTTACTACCAACAGATTTGAAGTTGAATATTCTTCACTTAATTTCTTGCAATTATTTGCTACTAAATTGAAATTCTCATCACCATCTAATACATATATTGCACTATAAGTGTGTGTTGTTGGGTCATAATTATCGGGCAGGGCAATTTTAATAGTGTAGTTTGCCCCTGTTGATGTGGATTGAATTGAAAATTGTTCTGTTTGATTTGGATTGAATTCTTCTTTTTTGCAACTCGCCGCTAAAAGCAGCACAGATAGTGCAATGATTGTGTTTGTTTTCATTATTTTATTGATTTATTAATGGTTATTATTGATTTTTTATACTTTATTAACAGTTGTTATTTATTAAACAGTGTTTAGTTTATAGTTAAAAAAATTATGTTGTTTTTGGTTTCAGTTTCAAATAGAAGTACAAAGCCAAAAGAACATCTATTGTAATACAAAAGACATCATAGCCGTGGGGCGCTACAGAACTTACATGAGGAAATAAAACATCCCAAAGTCCGTGAAGAACTAATCCTACTACTGTAAATAAGTAACTGCCTTTGTAGCCCCTGTAGGCAAAAAACAAGAACAAAGATGCTGATGGGGCAGTAAGCATTAGAGAATGCGGATCAATTGAAAATCCGATGTAAATAAACGGTATGACTGCTAAGTTCAATGAAGCATATAGCTTTATGTCAATTTTTCTGAATACTTCAGCGAATGCAATTACCGCGGCGGTGGTACAAAGACCTATAATAAATCCTGTCATGTTATCAGCTATTAAATGCTAATTGTAATAGTTCCTTTTTTACCACCATTTTCAAAATAAGTGTGTGCGTTGGCAATTTGACTTAATGGATAAGTTCTATCAACTAACGGTTTGTATTTTCCTGTTTCAATAAGCTCTTTTAGAAATTTAATAGCCGTTGCATTGTGGCTGATTACACCTTTGAGAACTTTTTTACCGCTTGTCATCGATATCCAAGATCCAATAATCATTTCCGGCATTCCGGCAGAGCTTAGGATCATTGTGCCATTCTTAGAAAGTGATTTCAAAGAGCCGATAACAGATATTGCATTAATCGAGTCATATATCACGTCATATACTTCACCATTTTTTGTAAAATCTTCCTTGGTGTAATCAATAACTTTATCAGCCCCAATTGACTTAACCAACTCAATTTGTGATGTACTGCATACCCCTGTTACAATTGCACCATAAGATTTTGCTAACTGAACAGCAGCATTTCCAACCGCACCCAAAGCGCCTACCACAAGGACTTTTTGATTTGGTTTTATGTTTGCTTGGTTGATGAAATGCAATGCTGTTACACCTCCGAATGGAATAGCTGCTGCATCACTGTGCGAAATATTGTCAGGTTTAATCGCTAATGTACTGTCTTCCGAAACACAGATATATTCTGCATAAGCACCGAAACTCATATTAGTATGACCAAATACCTGGTCACCAACATTGAAAAGTTTCACATTACTTCCTACGCTTTCCACTTCGCCGGAATAAACTGTACCAAGCACACCGATCTTAGGTTTCATTAGCCCGAAAATGAATCTGACCGCAAAGGGGTCGGCCTTTCGCAATCTCACATCACCAGAATTAACGGCTGTTGCTTTGATCTTTATAAGAACTTCGTTGGCTTTCGGTTCCGGTTTAGTTACTTGTTTAACTTGTAGAACTTCCGGAGAACCGTACTGTGCATAAACTGCAGCTTTCATTGTTTTCATTTTTGTTTTTTTTAATTGATTTATAAAAGGTTTATAATTTCAGTATTATTATACACAAGGTTATTTACTGAACAATGTTTAGTTAATTGGCAAAAAAATATTAGACTCTTATTCGGTCTAAATAATTATCCCAACATAACTTTATATAGTCCTCCGCTTCAGCCTTTGTTAGCCCCATCCCTTCGTAGCTTTTTCTTACCATTAAAGTTGTTAGTCCTTGAGTTAAGCCCCAAACCTCTAATCGCAAAATCATTTCATTCTTTTCCGTTATTAAATTTTCCTTGATACATTCTTTTACGGTCTCTCTTAGAAAACCAATTGCATTTCCATATTTTTCCATTCGGTCTTCTCTTTTAAAAGCCCCTAATGGGGAATCATGAAGGAACATTAAATTAAAGCACTGCGGATTATTAATATTATGTTTCATATAAGCATGGCCCATTTGACGTAACCTCTCAAAAGGATTTTCTATCTTAACAACATTTCGGTAACTATAAATTAAATCTTTGAAACACTTGATTTGAATGTCAAAAAATAATGCGTCTTTATCCTTATAGTATAAATAAATAGTAGCCGGACTGTATTCTATTTTCTTGGCAATCTCACGTAACGAAGTGCCTGCATACCCTTCCTTTACAAACATTTCAAATGCTGCATCCAGGATGGCTTTTTTCAATTCTTCTTTTTCCCTTTCTTTACGTTCTGAGATTCCCATGTAACTTTAATTATTAATTAACAGTGCAAATTTACTGAACACTGTTCAGTAAAACAAATTAAATTCTTATAATTTTTGCATAATTAACCTAACTTACTGTTAACGTGTCAATTAAATTTTAATTTTCAAAATGCAGTTACATCGAAATAAGATAGCCGGAAATTAACCGACCACCTTATCCGTTTACATCAAATTACATTTTACCACATTCGGCAGCACATTCATTGCATGCTTTGGCACATTCTTGGCAATGTTCGTTCTCATGTTTTCCACATTCGTCTGCACATTTTTGGCATGCCTCTGCACATAATCTACAAATGTCCTTGGCCTTATCGCTACCTAAACTCATTAATTGAGCGGCGGCATAGCACAGGACACTACATTCCATATCCAGTTGGATACATTTAGCCATCATTGCTACATCGCTTTCTTTCAAGCATGAACTTGCGCAATAATTACACATAGAAGCACATCTTAAACATGCATCAATACATTTTTGATATTCGTGATTTTTCATTTTAATGTATGTTTATACTGTTAGATAGTTTGAACATTAACTTCAAAGGGATTGTTTTACTAAAATCCCAATAGTGTGAATTTTACAATATCGATAGATAGTTATTAATTCAAAATTTTACTACTTTTGAATATTACAGATGAAAAGAGGTCTCGCCATACTATTATTGCTTATTTACAGCCTTCCGCTGTTGAGTAATAATTGCCAGTTGCATTACTGTGGCGGTAAGCTAAAGAAGTTCTCTTTTTTCGCATATACTCAAAAGTCATGCTGCGGTAAAAAGAAAATGGCAAAAGGGTGTTGCAAGGATGTTCAATTGCTTTGCAAATCCGATAAGCACGAGGTTACATCATTGCCAAAAGTATTCTTACAGAAGGATGTTAAAGAAATAATTGCTTCTGTTCAAATATTAAATATTACTCCTGTTACTTCTATAGTAATTACTAGGATAAACCATGACCCACCCGACATATTGGGTGTGCCACTCCATTTGCTTAACAGCAATTTCCGTATTTGATTTATTTACTTTTAAGTTAACCATTGTACACGTCTACAATGGCTAAAGGCGTTATACCTATACGTCAAGTTTTTTCAATGCCCCGAATTGGGGTTAACATTAAAATTTAATTCTATGAATACGATTAAATCAGTAGCATTGACTATTGCAGTACTATTTACTGTTAGCAGTTGTCAGGCAAAAATTAAAAATGCAAAAACCGAAACCAAGAAGGTTTACGGCAATTGCGACATGTGCAAAAAGACAATAGAAACAGCCGCAAATAAAAGTGGCGAAGCAAAGGTTGTTTGGGATAAAAACACCCAAATTGCTACCCTTACTTACGATTCTG